GCCTTGCATGCATGAGGCCCTGGGTTCGATTCCTCAGTACCACATAAACAGAAAAAGCTGGAGTGGGGCTGTGACTCAAGTAGTAGAGCTCTAGCCTTGAGCTGAAGAGCTGAGGGACAGTGTCCAGGCCCAGAGTTCAGGACCCACGACCAGCAAAAAAAAAAAAAAAAATCAATAGAGCCTAGCAACTGTGAGGCCCAGCAACTGTGAGGCCCTGAGTTCAAGACTCAGTACCAACACACAGGTGCATGTGTGTAGACCCACACGTATACATGTGCTCAAGCTAAAGAAATGTAACATTTTAAGTTACTTTTGCCAGCCGGGTGCCTGTGGCTCATGCTTGTAATCCTAGCTACTCAGGAGGCTGAGCTCTGAGGATCACGGTTCAAAGCCAGCTCAAGCAGGAAAGTCCGTGAGACTCTAATCTCCAATAAACCACTAGAAAACTGGAAGTGGGCCGGGCGCTGGTGGCTCACGCCTGTAATCCTAGCTACTCAGGAGGCTGAGATCTGAGGATCGCGGTTCAAAGCCAGCCCGGGCAGGAGAGACCATGAGACTCCTATCTCCAATAAACCACCAGAAAACCGGAAGTGGGGCTGTGGCTCAAGTGGTAGAGCGCTCGCCTTGAGCTGAAGAGCTGAGGGACAGCACCCAGGCCCAGAGTTCAAGCCCCAGGACCGACAAAAAAAAAAAAAGAAAACTGGAACTGGTGCTGTGGCTTAAGTGGTAGAGTACTAGTCTTGAGCTGAAGAGCTGAGAGACAATGCCCAGACTCAGAGTTCAGGCCCTACAACTGACAAAAAAAAAAAAGAATCTCACAGACTTTCTTGCTCTGGCTGGCTTTGAACCATGATCCTCATATCTCAGCCTCCAGAGTAGCTAGGATTACAGGTATGAGCCACTGTTGCTGGGCTCCACCTGTAATCTTAACTACTCAGGAAGTTGGGATCTGAGGATCATGGTTCCAAGCCAGTGAGATTCTTATCTCCAAAATAGCCACCAAAATGCTAGAAGTGGAGCTGTGACTCAAGATGTAGAGCACTTTCCTTGAGCAAAATGTCCAGGGACAACACAGAAACCCTGAGTTCAAGCTCCAGCATCAGCAAGGAAAAAAAAAATCCAGGTATCCATGGTTTACACCTGTAATCCTAAGTATTCAGGAAGCTGAGATTTGAGGATCATGCCAGCCTGGGCAGTGTTAGGTTTTTAAAAAGAGTTGATCGAGTAAGAACAGCACCACACACGTGGTATTCAGGTAAGGGGTAGGTTTATTCATCGTTCCGGCTGGCACCAGGCCATGTTGGCCCTCCATGCGGCTGGGAAAGGCCTGGGAAAGAGAGCTGGGAAAGAGAGAGAGCTGGGAAAGAGAAGAGAGAGCTGGGGAAAAGCTGGGAAAGAGAAGAGAGCTGGGAAAGAGAAGAGAGAGCTGTGAAAAAAAGTTGGGGAAGAGAGAGAGAGCTGGGAAAGAAAGCGTCTGGGCCTGGGCTACGTCTTATCTACGGTATGGGCGAAGAAAGGTATGGCCACATCAAAGGTATGGTCACATCAGATGTGACTTCACGGATGCAGATGTGACCTCTTCGAGGTGTGCCAGTTGCCTAGGTAACACAGGTACTGGGTGGAGACTTTGCTGCGAGGAGGGTGGAGTCTGCTTGCCATGCAGGAGCGGACCTTACTAGAAAGTTCTTGAGACCCTTATCTCCAGTTAATCTCCAATTAATCACCAAAAAGCCAGAACTGGAACTGTGGCTCCACGTGGAAGAGTTGCAATAGCCAAGCTGTGAGACCTGAAAAGAATGGGAGTTTGGAAGCCCTTCTCCCAACATATTCTCAGAACACTGAGAGTTTCCTGGAAAATTCTATCAGTCCAGGCTTAACAGGAATTCAAATCTATCCTGGGCGTGGGCTAATTCCAACCTAAACCTTGTGGGAGTGGGGGTGCGGGGAGGGGGGTAGACTAAGGTTTATGCAAATTGTAAACTGTTTAGCTCCAGTTCCCCAGAAGAGAAAGTCATCTACTACTTGTGATAGCAAGTTAAGATTAACGGACTTTGCCAGAAAACTGCGGAGACATCCAAGTACAGAGAACAAAGAAAGGTTTATTGCCAGGAAAGGGGGGCCGGCAAGATGCCTTCTCATGAGGGAGGAATGAGAATCAGCACTGGCTATTGTCTGGGGTGACCTATATAACCTAGGGGGGTTAGGAGGAGCTAGAAGGGGCTAGGAGGCGGAGATCCTGGTGTGGACATGTGGGTCAGGGGCTTCATCATGGTGGACTAGGATGGCCGCCACCCAAGTAGTAGATAAGGGGTCCTGCAGCTGCCCAGTCCTGAAGGTCACTCTAAGGGGTTCTTGTTGCCTTATATGGTGGTAGCTGCCCCAGAGAAGTGCCATCCCAAGGTAAAGGGGGTTGGAAGTTGATTATTTACTGCCTTTACTACAAGGGCCTAGTGTTGCCTAGGAAGCATGCTAAGCTGTGGGGAAGGGAAGGAGTGGATTAAGTTATGGGAAGGGACTCATTTCACTAACAACTTTTTTTGTTTTTTGTTTTTTGTCGGTCATGGGGCCTGAACTCTGGGCCTTGGGCACTGTACCTCAGCTCTTCAGCTCAAGGCTAGCATCCTAACACTTGAGCCACAGTGCCACTTCCAGTTTTCTGGTGGTTTATTAGAGATAAAAGTCTCACAGGCTTTCTTGCCCAGGCTGGCTTTGAACCGCCATCCTGAGATCTCAGCCTCCTGAGTAGCTATGATTACAGGCATCATCTACTACTTGTATGCAAAATATTGTCACATGTTAATACTATACCTTACTATCTGCACATACTTCCCTATACAAAATCAAGCCCAGCTGTAATCCTAGCTACTCAAGAGGCTGAGATCTGAGGATCGCAGTTCCAAGCCAGCTGGGGCAGGAAAGTCCACGAGACTCTTTTTTTTTTTTTTGGTTGGTCGTGGGCCTAAACTCTGGACCTGGGCGCTGTCCCTCAGCTCTTCAGCTCAAGGTGAGCGCTCTACCACCTCAGTCACAGTGCCACTTCTGGCTTTTTCTGCTTATGTGGTGCTGAGGAATTGAACTCAGGTCCTCATGCATGCAAGGCAAGCATTCTACCACTGAGCCACCTTCCCAGCCCCTAGAGCTCTAATCTTGAACTGAAGGGCTGAGGGACAGTGCCCAGGCCCAGAATTCCTGAGTTCAAGCCCCATAACTGGCAAAAAAAAAAAAAAAAAAAAAGATTTTTTGGTTGTTTTTAAATTTTTTAGTATCTTTAATTAGTTGTACAAAGAAGTTCCCATTCTACAAAACAGTATATGAATACAAAGTGTCTGATAACATTGACACCTATCTCTCCTAACCCACCCCTTCTCTCACTTTTCTGAAAAAAGGAAGATTTTAAAGGGGCTGGATATGCTAAAGCACCCATGCTTTGCATGGACAAGGTATTAGGTTTGAATCTGGTATCAAAATTTTATTTTATTTATTTATTTTTGCTGGTCTTGGAGCTTGAACTCTGGGCCTGGGCACTGTCCTGAGCTCTTCAGCTCAAGGCTAGCACTCTACCACTTGAGCCATAGCACCCACTTCCAGCTTTTTCTGTGTATGTGGTGCTGAGGAATTGAACCCAGGGCCTCATGCATGCAAGGCAAGCACTCTACCCCTGAGCCACATTCCCAGTCCCTCAAAATTTAATTTTAAAAGATGGAATTTATTTTTTAAGGTAAACAAGTTTAAAGTGCAAAGAAAACATCAAGACCCGGGGATGGGAAGGTAGCTCAGTGGTAGAGTGCTTGCCTTGCATGCATGAGGCCCTGGGTTCGATTCCTCAACACCACATAAGCAGAAAAACCTGGAAGTGTCACTGTGGCTCAAGTGGTAGAGTGCTAGCCTTGAGATGGACAGCACCCAGGCCCCAGGACTGCCAAAAAAAAAAAAAGAAAACATCAAGACCCAAAGAGGAGTCACTAAAAGGGAATTTATAACACATCCAACTATGTAAACTGTGTAAACTGAAGAGCTGCAGGGGCAGAGTAGGAAAAAATAATTTGTTAAAAAGGTGTGTTTCGCAGCATTCTATATACTCACATACAATGAGAGCAAAAGAAGAGTCTCTTAGGAGAGACTCACAAAGGCACAACACCCAAAGATAAGGACTTTTTTCTTTTTTACCTTATATATGGTGTATTCACGTGAACATCTGTAGTAGGGTAGGGGGAGGACACAGAATCTGAGGAAAAAGGGGGAAAAAGTGCAGAAGTGGAGTGCACTGGACATTGATGAAAGTGAACTATGCAACTCATGGGCAGAGATAGGAGTGAGGGAATAGGAGAGACTGAGGGAACGGACGACCTGACTCAGGTAAATATAACCCAGCTGTATGTTACTCTAAAACATCAATAAATTTGGAAGAAAAGAAGGTTTTAATGATTGTACAGATGTTTCCATTGCAGTAAAAAATAAAGCTTGTTAATAAACGTTCATGGGGGGGTAGGGGGGAAGGTGTGTTTGGGTTGAGAGAAAAGCTAAGTGTGACCGGGATTTGCTAGACAAGGGTGGCGGGTGGGAGAGCATTTGCTTGTGAACAAGCTCTCCGGGATTCTAAACCCATTCCTGCCACCCTCTGACCTTCACAGGTTACTGCTTCTCTCCCAGCCTTACTTTTCTGAAATTTGGATGAGTTTGATTTAGGTTTTATCTCTTCCACCATCTTCAAACCAGACTTTAACTAACAATGGCTAATAGTGTCGGAATCCTGCGGTGCGGAACGCCAACCACTCACTCATAAGCATTTCCGGTCGGCCGGGACAAAGAGTTTGAAGTCCTTGGACAGCACTTCCGGTAATGAAATTTGCACTTCAGACGTCAGTCCTCGAGCGGCACTGCGTGACCTAGCACCCAACTACGCATGCTCCACTTAGGCTTCAGGTGGGCGAGGCATGGGGTGGAGTGGGCGGGGCTTCTGACTTGTCTCGCGGTTACTGGGCGGGCGCGAGCGCGCGAGGCTCGCGAGCGACGCGGGGCGGGGCCTCGTTCGAGTCGGCAGTGCCGGTCTGGCCGAACGTCGTCTAGCTGAGGTCAGCTCAGGTGAGGAGGTCGCGCCGGAAGTACCTCTGGCCGTGGCTAGCCCTTGGAGACAGCCTCCGCCACCAAGTTTTGTTGTTAAGGGGGCGCGGCACTACTCAGCTCTCCCCACTTTCCCTTGCAGCCGCCATGGCGAAAGGCAAAGCCGCCGAACGGTCGCCAACGGGGGCACTCCACAAGACCCCAGTAGAGGACCAGGCTGCGCGGACGCGGGATTCCGCGGAGCCGGGCAGCGGAGGCAGTCTGAAGGGTGAGTGGGCCTGAGGGCCGGAGCTGAGGCTTGTCCAGCGGGGTCGTGTGCCGGGCGGCGCTCCGGGGGCGGGGCAGTCGGAGACCCCAGCCGGTCTCCAAGGCTTGCGGTATTAGAGGGAACCTGCCGACGTCCGGGAGAGAGTGGGGCGCTCGGCTTGGGCCCCAGAACAGCACAAAGCCAGACGCGTAGTCGGTGCGTCTTGGTGCCTTATCAATTGGATTCGGTTACCAGAAAGGATGACACACCAGCTTGTTGACGCTAGGGCGATTGTAAGGTTGATAGCGAAGCCAGACAGACCTTTAGCATTTGCTGCGTGCGTTTTTTACAGATGAGAAGACTGAGGGGTGTAGTGGCTTGCTGACTTGCAGAGAGTCACAAAGCCAGCTTAGTAAGTGAGATAATGTGGCTGTTTCAGGTGGCAGTTTCAAGTGATAGGATTACCTGGCTTTGAGTCCCATCGTTCTAGCATTAGAGACTTCGAATGCCAACTTTCAAAAGCTCTGTGAAGGGTATATGGGACCATTTAATTCAGGCAATGTTTGGCGTATATGAAGTGGGGGCTAAATGTTTACAATTACTGCTACATACAGGTAACATTCTAAACTTCTCTCCTACCCCTCAAAACACCGTCCTAGTAATGTTCAGAGCTTTTAAGATTTATTTATTTTGCAGGGTTGGGAATTGGACCCAAGGCCTTGGCACAACGTAGGCAAGTGCACTATTACTTGACCTATGCACCTATTCTTTTAAGCACATTTGTTTCTCCAACCCCCCCCCCTCATTTCTGTTTTCTGTCTGTCTCTCTCTTTGTGGTCCTGGGGTGTGTTCTCAGGGTCTCCAGCTCACTGCTTGCTTGCTTATTTGGCTGGAGCTCTACCATTTGAGTCATGCCTCCAGCCATGCTTTTTGCTGGTTATTCTGGAGATGAAGTCTTATAAACTTTACTGCTGGGGTAAACCATGATCTTTTGACCTCAACCTCCTAAGTAACTAGGATTACAGGTGTGAGCCATCAGTTCTCGGTTTAAATACAGTTTTAAGCAACACACACACACCCAAAACAAAACCGAACCCAAAACAAAACCAAATGAAGAAACTAAATGCTTTGATTCTATCTTGGCATGAAATTGTTTATTATTTTCCAGAAGTTGAAATGGTTAAGCTTAAGCTCTTTTAAGTGCTTTTTTATTTTTATTTTTTTGGTGAGTGCTTTTAAAGCTCATATAGTTGAAGTAATCAGAACAAATGGCTATTAAATAGTCCACAGCTCAAATCACATATGCTTATGTTCTACCAGTAATAATAGCTATGGAGCGGCCTTTTTCCTTCCTTCCTTCCTTTTTTCCTTCCTTCCTTCCTTCCTTCATTTTTTTCTTCCTTCTTTCTTTCCATCTGCTTCCCTGCTCTCCCCCCCCATTTTTTGGGAACAGAGATGTCTTATGTAGTCTACAGCACTCCCATCTTTCTGCCTTAGCCTACCTATTGCTGAGATTACATCACCATACCCAGTTTAGAAGTCATCTTTTAAGAATTTATAGCAGGAAATATTTATGTGTTTAGAAAATTTTAAACATCTCTAATTGTCTCTTTGAAGTTTCTATAATCTGGTTGTCTTTCTAGATGGTGGTGAAACCAAATTCATATAAATTTTAAAAACTTTTCTGTGTTATAGAAGGATATATCTGATCTAGCTTAAAAGAACGTTGTTCTGCTACTATGACAATAATACAATAGTTTTTTTTTTTTTTTTGGGTCCAGTCATGGGGCCTGAACTCTGGGCCTGGGCGCTGTCCCTCAGCTCTTCAGCTCAAGGCTAGCGCTCTACCACTTGAGCCACAGCTCCACTTTCGGCTTTTTTCTTTTCGCTTATGTGGTGCTGAGGAATTGAACCGAGGGCCTCAGGCATGCAAGGCAAGTGCTCTACCACTGAGCCACCTTCCCAGCCCTCACAATAGTTTCTTGTAAGGGCAATCCAGATTATTTTCATTTGGTTTGAGATGGTGGTGAGTTTTACTATTATTTTTTAACCTAAAGTTTTTTTTTTTTTCCTAGTTTATCTTCTTAGAAGTTTTATATTGTTCTGCTAGATGCTTAGCAATAACAGAAAAACAACCTTATAATCAATCAGATTAAAAAGGGAGGAATATTATAACAGCTAGCATTTATTAGGTATTATTTTGTGTCCAAAATCAAGAATACTATACACATCATATTATTTAATTCTCTCAGTTGTATATGGCTTCCTTTTAAACAAGAGAACTAATAAAAGCATTTAAATGTACATAGCATTCAGGTTTACCCAAGGTAACCTAAAGTTTTCAGAAATAAAACCTTAAGACTTCCAGAGGGCCTTTATGATAGTTTATTTTATCTTTAGAACAACACAGTCTACATCATTTATTCTTGACTTCTACAGAGGACAGATCTCTATAAAAGCAAAAAAAAAAAGTCATATCTTCATGGAGAAATAGGGGTTGGAGAGTGGAGAGAAGGGTATGCTGGGGGGAAAAAAGAGTAGACAAAAGGGTTATTGTGAACCTTTTATGTGTGACAGTAAAAAGATTAATTTATCTCCAGTGAAGAGTTTCTGTTGCAAGGTAGTAGGAGATAGGTTGGACTGTTTAGAATAATGTCAGATTACAGTTGCAAGGCTTTTTATTTTTATTTTATTTTATTTGTTTTTGGGTCTGGTTGTGGGGCCTGAACTCTGGGCTTGGGCCCTGTCCCTCAGCTCTTCAGCTCAAGGCTAGCGCTCTACCACTTGAGCCACAGCACCACTTCCACCTTTTTTCTTTTTGCTTATGTGGTGCTGAGGAATCGAACCCAGGGCCTCATGCATGCAAAGCAAGCACTCTACCACTGAGCCACCTTCCCAGCCCCTTTTATTTTTATTTTTTTGGTGCAAGTCCTGGGGCTTGAGCTCAGGGCCTGGGCACTGTCCTTGAGCCTCTTTTGCTCAAGGCTAGCACTCTACCACTTGAGCCACAGCACTACTTCCAGCCTTTTCTATTTATGTGGTACTCTACCACTCTACCACTAAGCCACATTCCAGCCCACATAGCTGCTTTTTTTTTTTTTGGTTGTGGGGCTTGAACTCTGGGCCTGGGTGCTGTCCCTCAGCTTTTCAGCTCAAGGCTAGCACTCTACCACTTGAGCCACAGCGCCACTTCCGATTCTCTGAGTGGTTAATTGGAGATAAGAGTCTCAGGGACTTTCTTGCCCAGTCTGGCTTTGAACCATAATCCCCAGATCTCAGTCTTCTGAGTTGCTAGGATTACAGACATGAGCCACCACTTCTGACCCACATAGCTGCTTTTACATTTATCATGCTCATCTTGTTGGTTGAGAGGGGGTCTCCACTAACTCTTTGCTGGAGCTGACCTTGAAGCATGATTCTCCTAGTCTGCCTCTTGAATAGCTGAGGTTAAAGGTGTGTTGCACCATACATCTATTTAATAGTGAGTTAAGCTTCTGTAGTCTTACTGTTAACTCCTTCCTGGCAAAACAGCTCTGTTCATTTTTCTGCTTGCTGTGTACTGGATCTCACTCTGTTTTTTTTTTTTTTTTGGGGTCCGGTAGTGGGGCCTGAACTCTGGGCCTGGGCGCTGTCCCTCAGCTCTTCAGCTCAAGGCTAGCGCTCTACCACTTGAGCCACAGCGCCACTTCCGGCTTTTTTCTTTTTGCTTATGTGGTGCTAAGGAATCGAACCCAGGGCCTCAAGCATGCAAGGCATGCGCTCTACCACTGAGCCACCTTCCCAGCCCCTGGATCTCACTCTGTATTTTACCTGCACATAATGTTTATTATAACATCCTTTCAGGTTTAGAGTCACAGACAGAGTGTCACTCAAAACCTTTGAGATTCATCTGAACACTCTGAAGCCTTTGGTATAAAAATAAACCATACATTGTCCAGTTGTCTTAGTGAATATATTCTTATGACATTTCAAATTATTTATTTATTTATTGGACTTGGGGGGCGAAAGTGGGGTTTGGACTCAGGGCCTTGTGTTCTTGTTTGAATTTTTCCAATTAAAGCTGATACTCTACCACTTGAACTACATTTCTACTTTTTTGCTTTTTTGCTGGTTAATTGGAGATTAGGATATCACAAATTTATTTGGTTGGCCTGGTTTTGAACTGTGATTCTTCAATCTCTCCATCCTGAGTAGCTGGGATTACAGGTGTGAGCCATTGGCACTGTGAAAGAATTGATTAATGTCAATGTTTGGGCAAAAGATTGAATAGTTTTCTCTGAGGAATGCCTTTCAGGAAGTTGCTGGCTTGAGATACTATCTTCTTTTATATTTATCTTAATTAGACTTTTCATTTTTTTCTTTTTCAGAAAAAGCCTGTGTGGAAGCGGGGTCAGCAAGAATGTCACTTCTTATATTGGTGTCCATTTTCTTGTCTGCAGCCTTTGTTATGTTTTTGGTATATAAAAATTTTCCTCAGCTTAGTGAGTAAGTATGCTATGATAGAAACTTGAAATGTGCATATAGTTATGAGATGAAAATGAATTGCAAGCCAAATCTACTTTAGACAACAGAACTGTTGTGACTACGTATCAGTCTTCTGAAGTGCAAGAAGCCACATCTGTACTGTTGTTTAAACATTTGTTTCTAAATTTGCCTCATTATTTTCTAACAGTTTTGATATTCTAACAGTATTGCTTCTCTAATTAAGATGTCATCTTTCCCTGGGTGTCAGTGGCTAATGCCTCTAAGCCTACCTAATCAGGAAACAAATCTCAGGATCAAGATTTGAAGTCAGCCCAGGTAGACAAATTTGTGAGACTTTTTCAGTTAGTTATTAGAAGCCAGAAGTTGATGCATGACTCAAGTGGTAGAATGCCAGCTCTGAGCTAAAAAGCCAAGTAAAAGCTCAAGGTCACCTATAGATGGCAAACCACTAAAAAATATAATTTCAAGAAGGACAATTTTTTTTTTTTTTTTTTTTTTTTTTTTTTTGTCGGTCGTGGGGCTTGAACTCTGGGCCTGGGCGCTGTCCCTCAGCTCTTCAGCTCAAGGCCAGCGCTCTACCACTTGAGCTACAGTGCCACTTCCGGTTTTCTGGTGGTTTATTGGAGATAAGAGTCTCACTGTCTCTCCTGCCCGGGCTGGCTTTGAACCGCGATCCTCAGATCTCAGCCTCCTGAGTAGCTAGGATTACAGGCGTGAGCCACCAGCGCCCGGCTAAGAAGGACAATTTTATATTACAGCCCTATACAACTGTGCTTTCTTTCTTTCTTTTGGTCTTACATATTGAGGACTAAATGGGGTTTTGGGTACAGCTCAGTATTTGATTGAATGCTTAACATTGCAAGACCATGGGTTCAATACCTAGCAGTAGAAAAATAAAAAGAAAACCAAGTTAAGCCAGGTGCTGGTGGCTGTAATCATAGCTACTCAAGAGGCTGAGATCTGAGAATCTTGGTGTTCAAAGCCATCCCAGGCAAGAAGGTTCATGAGAATGCTCTTAACCTCCAATTAACCACTAAAAAAGCCAGAAATAGACTGTGGCTCCCAGTGATAGGGCACTGGCCTTGAACATAAAGCTCAGGAACAGTACCCAGGCCCTGAGTTCAAGTCTTAGGCTGGAACCAACTCCCCCCCCCCCCCCAAAAAAAAAGCAACAACAACAACAAAAACTGTTAAAATTTCCTAAATCAATTGGTGTGTTCTGATATTTTCCATTTGTTTTCTCTTATTGTTTACTGTTAGTAGTAGTGACCAAGTAAGTTTATATTTCTTCTTACAGTTGATATTGATATTTAGTTTTTTTTTTTGTTTTTTTTTTTTGGGTCCGGTCGTGGGGCCTGAACTCTGGGCCTGGGCGCTGTCCCTCAGCTCTTCAGCTCAAGGCTAGCACTCTACCACTTGAGCCACAGCACCACTTCCACCTTTTTTCTTTTTGCTTATGTGGTGCTGAGGAATTGAACCTAGGGCCTCATGCATGCAAGGCAAGCGCTCTACCACTGAGCCACCTTCCCAGCCCTTGATATATAGTTTTAATAAACTTGGTATTCTCTGCTTCTGCCTTTCTTCCATCCCTATTTTCTTCTTTTCCACTTTGACTTGTGATTTATTTATATCTGGCTCTATTCATCCACATCTCTGTCTCTTTTTCTCTTCCTTATTTTATTGAAATAGGTATGATTTTTAACCAGAGGAGGAAGAGCAGTACTGGGATTTGAACTTGGGGCTCTCTGGCCTTGCTAGGCAGGCACTGTACTATTTGAGCCATGCCTTCAGACTTTTCACTTTGGTTATTTTTGAGGTAGAGTCTTGCTTTTTGCCTCATCCTCTTTTTCTGGTTTCCTGCATAGCTGACAGGCATGTATGACCACATCTCGAGTTTTCTATTGGTTTAGGTCTCCTGAACTTTTTTTTCCTGGCTGGCTTTAAGCTTTGATCCTTTCAATAGTCACATCTTGGGTTTTTTTTTTTTTTTTTGTTTCTTTTTTTTGGGGTCCGGTCATGGGGCTTGAACTCAGGGCCTGGGCGCTGTACCTCAGCTCTTCAGCTTAAGGCTAGTGCTCTACCACTTGAGCCACAGCGCCACTTCCGGCTTTTTTCTTTTTGCTTATGTGGTACTGAGGAATCGAACCCAGGGCCTCAGGCATGCAAGGCAAGTGCTCTACCACTGAGCCACCTTCCCAGCCCCAATAGTCACATCTTAAGTAGTGAACTGTTACTTTTCATAGTGAACTTGATCTTGTAAAACAAAACAAAACAAAAACTATAGCTCATATCCATTTGGCAAAGACCTTGATAAATTTGTTTCCAGAATTAAAAATTTTCACTTGGCACCAGTGGCTTAGGCCTATAATCCTAGCTGCTTAGGATGCTGAGACCTGGCTGATCTTAATTGCAAGCCAGCCCAGGAAGAAGAGTCTCTAAGACTCCATCTCTATTAGCTAGCCAAAAAAAGAATTTAGAATTTTTTTCACTTTGGAAGGATAACAGAATACATACTATATTATATAATACCACTAGTTGTATTTAGAGCAGCATCTCATAATCTAGTATATTAATAACTATGCAGAGAAGCCTTCATTGTAACTTCTTTTTTTTTGTTGTTGGTCATAGAGCTTGAACTCAGGGCCTGGACACTGTCCCTGAGCTCTTTGTTCAAGGTTAGACTGCTGTACCACTTTGAGCCACAGCTCTACTTCCAGAGATAAGGGTCCCACAGACTTTCCTGCCCAGGCTGGCTTTGAACTCTATTCCTCAGATATCAGTCTCCTGAGTTGCTAGGATTATAGATATAAGCCACCAGTGTCAGTATAAAAGACTAAACAACTTTAGGTAAATTTTGTTTTGTTTTTGGGTTTGTTTTTTCCCCCTAGTCCTGAGGCTTGAACTCAAGGCCTGGACAATGTCCCTGAGCTTCTTTTGCTTAAGGCTAACACTCTACCACTTGAGCCACTGTACCACTTCCAGCTTTTTCTGTTTATGTGATACTGAGGAATGGAACTCAGGGCTTTATGCATGCTAGGCAAGCACTCTACCACTAAGCCACATTCCCAGTTCCAGTGTCTAGTTTTTTTGATCAGTGAATAGAGTTGATTGACAGAGAGAAAGAATCTACAGAGTAAGTTTGTTTTTGCTCCCAATCTAAGAATTATAATGTATTTGTTACTTACGTAATGATGTAATTACAAACCTTTTATATTCCATTGATTACATATTTTGTGTATGCAGGTTTTAAAATTTTATAAATGAGAAGCCATTTTAGCTTACCAGGTATTTCTATAGGACTTAAGAAAAGTAGCATTCAGCTATAGCTATTCAGGAGCCTGAAAGAGGAGAATTCCTTGAGACCATAAGGTCAAGATCAGCCTACCTAGTCTGGAGGCTAAGATTTGAGGATTGTGGTTAGAAGCCAACCAGGGCCAAAAAGTCCATGAGACACTTTATCTCCAATAAACTACCAGAAAACTGAGCTGTGGCTCAAAATGGTAGAGCTCTAGCCGTAAGTGAAAAAGCTCAGAGACAGCACCTAGACCCTGAGTTCAAGCCCCATGACCTAACAAAACAAAACATTCTAGCTGCAGTCATTGTTCTACAGATAAGCACATGTAAATAATTGTACATAATGTACTTTAAACAAAAATGACTTGAAATTTTCATAAGCAAGAGTTTGTGTAATTCCCAACATGGCTTCAAGTAGCACATAAAATGAAGAGAGAAAAGTAAAAAGCTACCAGGTGCTGGTGGCTCATGCCTATAATCCTAGCTACTCAAGAGGCTGAGATCTGCATGTAGTTCAAAGCCAGTCTAGAGCAGAAAAGTCCCTGTGATACTCTTATCTCCAATTAACACCAAGAAGCTAGAAGTGGAACTTTGGCTCAAGTGGTACAGTGCTAGGCTTGAGCACAAAAGCTCAGGGACAGCATCCAGGTCCTGAGTTCAAGCCCCAACATTGGCACAAAAACAAAAGTCAGCAAATCGCATGGGCTTAAGATTCAGCTGAATCAGCAGAATTTCAAGTTCATGACTAGTCTGGGCAACAAATCAAGACTCTGCTTTAAAGAAAATGTGAAAAATGTTCTTTTTTTCTGGTCTTTGAATTGGAATATTCCAGAAAAGGTATAAAGTGTAAATTCATTAAAGTTTCTATTTGGGTTCTGTTATAAATCATTACTGACTTCAGCTTATCATGAGGATTACCCAAAATGATGTTAAATAAATTTTAATAGTTTAAACATTAGTTGTTTATTTCTTAATGTTAATTTAACATTTAAACCAATATTGGAGCATATGCTTTTAACCTTTAGTTTGAATTATTCTGAACTTTAACGTTTCATAGCCCAGAGAATTATATTGTTAAAGCACTGAAGAACAAATAATTTATAGGCTTTTAAGCTTAGTAATTTGGCTTTAATAGATTACAGATCAATTTATTAAATCATTTTGGATAAAACTCAGTGTTTTCAACTCAACTTGGATTTTATTATGGTAAAGTTCTGTTTAAAAATCTTTTAATTTTATTTCTTTAGAGAAGAAAGAGTGAATATGAAGGTCCCCAGGGATATGGATGATGCCAAGGCTCTAGGAAAAGTTTTATCCAAATATAAGGACACCTTTTATGTACAAGTACTTGTAGCTTACTTTGCTACGTATATTTTGTATCCTTTTAAATGTTTTCTAATTTTGTTCAAGAAAAGGTTTGAAGTCTGCTAGTTAAATGTTTTTCCCTTTAACAATTGTTCATGCAATGTTAAGATATTTTTTTAAAAGATTGAAAAGAAAGATGAAAAAAATTCCTGCTTTAATCCTTCCTTCTCAACCCAGTCATTTTTATTTCTGAATATCTGTTATCATTTTCTTCTGTTTTCCTTTCCTCAGTTCTTATTTGATTTATAATTGATAATTAACCATTAATTTTAAATAATTATTTTGAATTCTTTTTTTTTGTCGGTCATGGGGCTTGAACTTGGCCTGGGCGCTGTCTCTCAGCTCTTCAGGTCAAGGCAAGCGCTATGTCACTGGAGCCACAACACCACTTCTGGCTTTTTCTGCTTATGTGGTGCTAAGGAATCGAACCCAGGGCCTCATGCATGCAAGCACTCTACCACTGAGCCACCTTCCCAGCCCAACATAGGTGCTTGTGGCCCACACCTATAATCCTAGCTACTCAGGAGGCTAAGATTGGAAGATTGCAGTTCAAAGCCACCCTGGACAGGAAAGTCCTTGAGACTCTTATCTCCAGTTAACCACCAGAGAAGTTGGAGGTAGCTCTGTGGCTCAAAGTGATAAAATGCTAGCCTTGAGCAAAACAGTTTAGGGACAGCAGCCTAGCCCTTGAGTTCAAGCCCCATGACCAACAAAAAAAAAATTTTCTGGGCTGGAAAGGTGGCTCAGTGGTAGAGTGCTTGCCTTGCATGCCTGAGGCCCTGGGTTCGATTCCTCAGCACCACATAAGCAAAAAAGAAAAAAGCCGGAAGTGGCACTGTGGCTCAAGTGGTAGAGCGCTAGCCTTGAGCAGAAGAGCTGAGGGACAGCGCCCAGGCCCAGAGTTCAGGCCCCACGACCAGACCCAAAAAAAAAAAATATTTCCCTTAGGTTTGGTTATATATATTTTTACTTTTATAAATGTTTTGAGAATCTCCTTTTGTTAATGTTCCTTTAACAAAAAGTTTTAAGAAAGTTGGGTGCTAGTGTCTCACGCCCGTAATCCTAGCTACTCAGGAGGCTGAGATCTTAGGGTTGCAGTTCAAAGCCAGCCAAGGCAGGAAAGTCTGTGAAACTCTTATTTCCAATAAACCACCAGAAAACTGGGAATGGCATTGTGGCTGAAGTGGTAGAGTGCTTGTCTTGTACAGAAGAGTTGAGGGACTGTGGCCTGGCCCAGAGTTAAAGCCCCACAACCAAATTTTTTAAAAAAGGGTGGTTATGGGGGGCTGTAGTTGAGAAGGTGGGAGGGATAGGATCGTAGGGGAAAAACAAAAGAGGCAACAATGCTAGATAAGAAATGTACTCCTTGGGCTGGGGAAGTTGGCTCAGTGGTAGAATGCTTGCCTTGCATGCATGTGGCCTTGGGTTTGATTCCTCAGCACCACATAAGCAGAAAAAAAAAGCCGGAAGTGGCGCTGTGGCTCAAGTGGTAGGGTGCTAGCCTTGAGCTGAAGAGCTGAGGGACAGGGCCCAGGCCCAGGCCCAGGCCCAGGCCCAGGGTTCAAGCCCCATGACATGTAACTGTAACCGCTCTGTACAGTATTTTCACAATTAAAAAAACTTATTTTAAAAAATCAAGAGGATATTCATTCAAAGAAATGAATATATTTGCATTTTTTCTTTTTTTTTGTTTTGCAGAAATGTGTATTTTAGTTGATCAGGAAAATTACTTCATTCTTTTTTTTTTTTTTTTGGGTCCAGTCGTGGGGCCTGAACTCTGGGCCTGGGTGCTGTCCCTCAGCTCTTTAGCTCAAGGCTAGCGCTCTACCACTTGAGCCACAGCGCCACTTCCGGCTTTTTTCTTTTTGCTTATGTGGTGCTGAGGAATCGAACCCAGGGCCTCAAGCATGTAAGGCAAGCGCTCTACCACTGAGCCACCTTCCCAGCCCCCGAAAATTACTTCATTCTATGTTTACTTTTTTTGGGGGGGGGTCCAGTCGTGGGGCCTGAACTCTGGGCCTGTGCGCTGTCCCTCAGCACTTCAGCTCAAAGCTAGCGCTCTACAACTTGAGCCACAGCGCCACTTCTAGCTTTTTTTTTTTTGCTTATGTAGTGCTGAGAAATCGAACCCAGGGCCTCATGCATGCAAGGCAAGCGCTCTACTACTGAACCATCTTCCCAGCCCTCTATGTTTACTTTTAAACTGTCTATTGATGATTCCAATTTGTGGACTTTTCTTTCTTTCTTTCTCTTTTTTTTTTTTTTTTTGTGTGGTTGTAGGCCTTGAACTCTGGGCTCTTCAGCTCAAGGTGAGCACCCTACCACTTGAGCCACAGTGCCACTTGCGGTTCTCTGGTGGTTACTTGGAGATAAGAGTCTCACTGACTTTCCTGCCTGGATTGGCTTTGAACGTTGACTTCAGCCTCCTGAGTAGCTAGGATTACAGGTTGAGCCCCTGGACTTTACTTTTCTTACTGATTATTGTGTCTTCTACTTTTGTCCAGTCTATCTTCCTACTCTTCTTTGTTAATGAAATACATTCTTTTTTTTTTTGTTCCAGTCGTGGGGCCTGAACTCTGGGCCTGGGCACTGTCCTTCAGCTCTTCAGCTCAAGGCTAGCGCTCTACCACTTGAGCCACAGCACCACTTCTGGCTTTTTTTTTCTTTTTGCTTATGTGGTGCTGGGGAGTCGAACCCAGGGCCTCATGCATGCAAGGCAAGCGCTCTACCACTGAGCCACCTTCCCAGCCCTGAAATACATTATTTCTTGTTGCTATGAAAATAGTCATTATCTTTTTTTTTTCTGGTCAGTAGTGGCGCTTGAACTATGGGCCTGGGCGCTGTCCCTCAGCTCTTCAGCTCAAGGCTCGCGCTCTACCACTTGAGCTACAACAGGGTTTTCTGGTGGTTTATTGGACATAAGAATCTCACGGACTTTGCTGCCTGGGCTGGCTTTGAACCGTGATCCTCAGATCTTAGCCTCCTGAGCCACCCGCACCTGGCCCAATTTTATATTTATTTATTTGTTTGTTTGTTTGTTTATTTATTTTGTTGGTCATGGGGCCTGAACTCTGGCCCTGAGCACTGTCCCTGAGCTCTTCAGCTGGAGGCTAGTGCTCTACTACTTGAGCCATAGCACCATTTCTGCTTATGTAGTGCTGAGGAATCAAACCCAGGGCCTCATGCTTTCAAGGCAAGCCCTCTACCACTGAGCCACCTTCCCAGCCCTCCCCTCCAGTTTTATTTTATTTTTTATTCTTATTTTTTTTGGTCGGTGGTGGGGCTTGAACTCTGGGCCTGGGCGCTGTCCCTCAGCTCTTCAGCTCAAGGCGAGCACTCTACCACTTGAGCTACAGCGCCACTTCCGGTTTTCTGGTGGTTTATTGGAAATAGGAGTCTCAAGGTCTCTCCTTCTGGGCTGACTTTGAACTGTGATCCTCAGATCTCAGCCTCCTGAGCAGCTAGGATTACAGGCTTGAGCCACCAGTTTTGTTTTTTTTAAGCCAATTAGCTACTTAATTCTTTCAGAGCATTTCAGAGCTTTTTTTTTTTTATTTCTTGTATGTTTTTTTTGTTTGTTACAGTTTTTTACTAAAAACCATTTGTCCTGCAAAATTTAATACTTTACTGTTTTTTTTTTTTGGTCCTGGTGGGGCTTGAACTCTGGGCTTGGGCTCTGTCCCTGAACTACAGCTCCAGGTGAGCGCTCTACCACTTGGGCCCCAGCGCCACTTCCAGTTTTCTAGTGGTTTATTGGAGATAAGAGTCTCATGGACTTTCCTGCCTGGGCTGGCTTTGAACCTCGATCCTCAGATCTCAGCCTCCTGAGTAGCTAGGATTACAGGCTTGAGCCATCGGCACCTGGCTTATTTTTCTTTTCTTTGAGTTACATATATTGTATATATATATTTTTTATGGTTAACTTTATGCAAATGCTTTGGGTATATTTGTAAATATATTGAGGGAAGTGTTATTAACATAAGCTGCTTAGCGCATTTGTTTAGAAAATCACTACAATATAAATGTTATTTGTTTGCCAACAACACAGTGAAGATGCATTTATATTTAGGTTCTATACTTTAAGTACTTTTACCCAGTTCTTAGAAAAATTCAAATTTGGAAATACTATACTCCTATATATTTTTTGACAAGCAGTATTTGTAAAGTTATTTAATTGAACATACACTGTTTTAAGAAATCCATAACTGCAGTTGGTTGTGGTGAAACACATCTATAATCCCAGTAAGGAGCCTACTGAGTCAGAAGAATCAACAGTATGAGGCCACTTGGACTACAGAGTGAGACTTTGTCGAAAATCAAAACAAAACCCATAACTACATTGTCAGGAGGTCATCAGTAGTCACCATCATTTTAGCTGGAATATAAAGCATGAACAGGATCAAGAAATATGTAGGAAGTTCAGGAGGTATGTTCAGATTGTAGAGAACTTTAAATATCAGAGTAAGAAATTTATTTGGATACTAGGTAGACATTGAGAATTTTTTTTTTGGGGGGGGGGGGGTCCAGTCGTGGGCCTGAACTCTAGGCCTGAGCACTGTCCCTCAGCTCTTCAGCTCAAGGCTAGCGCGCTCTACCACTTGAGCCACAGCGCCACTTCTGGCTTTTTTCTTTTTGTGGTGCTGAGGAATCGAACCCAGGGCCTTAGGCATGCAAGGCAAGCGCTCTACCACTGAGCCACCTTCTCAGCCCCAACATTGAGAATTTTTGACGATATTAAAAGTATCACTTTTGGCCCAAGCCCATTATCCTAGCTACTCAGAACGCTGAGGTCTGAGGGGATAGTTAGAAGCCAGCTAGGGCAGGAAAAGTCTGAGAGACTCACAAAAAGCCAGAAGTAAAGCTATGGCTCAAGAGATGCTAGCTTTTAGCAGAAAAGCTTACAGTGCCCAGGCCCTGAGTTTAAGCCCCAGTACTGGCAAAAAATAAAATAATATACAAACCCCTCAAATAGCTTGTAGTGTAGCTCAGCACTTCCCTAGCATGTGTGACACCCTGGGTTTGATTTCCAAAAGATTATTTGCTAACAAAAAATGAGCCATGGGCTGGGAAGGTGGCTCAGTGGTAGAGCGCTTGCCTTGCATGCCTGAGGCCCTGGGTTTGATTCCTCAGCACCACATAAGCAAAAAGAAAAAAGCCAGAAGTGGCACTGTGGCTCAAGTGGTAGAGCATTTGCCTTGAGCTGAAGAGCTGAGGGACAGCGCCCAGGCCCAGAGTTCAAGCCAAAACTGACCAAAAAAAAAGCGCATGAAATCTATCTATATCTATATCTATGTATATATTTTTTGGGGGGGGGGGTCCGGTCATGGGGCCTGAACTCTGAGCCTGGGCACTGTCCCTCAGCCCTTCAGCTCAAGGCTAGTGCTCTACCACTTGAGCCACAGCGCCACTTCCAGCTCTTTTGAACAGTGGGAACTAATAGATGAAAAGTCATTTGGTCTATGAGGGAGTTTCACTGCAGTGGTGGAGTGAGTAAATCAGGTTGTTGGGAACAAAAAGAGAATGTCCAGTGAGCCTGTGAAATAAAGTAGGATGGAGAGAGATTGAAGGGATTCACTCTTACCTGACTGACTTGTAGCTAAATTATGTTCGGGTGAGAAAGAGGGGTCCATATCAAAACTGGGAACCAGAGCAAGTAAGAAAAGTGTGATTACATTTTAAAAATAAGATTTGTGATTTTTAAATAAGTTTTTTATTGTGAAAATACTGTACAGAGGGGTTATAGTTACATGAGCAAGGTAATAAGTACATTTCTTATCAAGCATTATTGCCTCTTCCTTTGTGATGTTTGTCAGTCATTTTAGATGCTTCATTTAAGTGAAGTCATTCTGGATGCTGGTGACTCATGCCTGTAAAACTAGCTACTCAAGTGGCTGAGATCTAGGGACTGAGGTTTGAAGCTTCCTGGGCAGAACTGTCCAAGAGATTATTTATCTCCATCTAATCATCAAAATAACATATCCCCAGTACCAGCGTACATGAATCCATCTGTGCACACACACAAAGATTGGTGATTTAGTAACATCTGGTGTTTTAGTAACATCTGTGTTTAATAACATCTAGTCTTTTTGTAATTAGTAGTTAATCGAGATAAGCTTCATAGTTAAGTTAGAAATCAACTATTACAACTTTTATGTACCTAGAAATTATATTTTCTGAAATTATTTGGGAGTAAAGCAAATGCATTAGAGAAGCATGTTGTTTAAATGATAATTGAAGACTTTTTTTTTTCTTAGATCACCTAATTTCTTTCTATATGATATATATTGGAAGTTTGCTTTAGTTTCTATTTTAGTAACACAATTTTAGTAGCATGGTACTTACTGCATTTTCTGTTTTTGAATAGTATCTTGTCAGTTGGAAGTTGGAAGCATTGGAGCAAGACAGATATACTTTAAAATAAAAAACTTTGTATATAATTTTACATCTTTGAATACATGTTGAACATTCCTAATTCAAAAATCCAAAATGCTCTCAACTCTCACTTTTTCAGTGCCAACATGATATGTCACAAGTAGAAAACTGCCTCATGAACTTAAGTGACATTTTGGTCAAACATAAGTATATAGAATACTCTGTAATGCTACCTTTAGGAAGTGTATGTATAAGGTATACATGAGTTTTGTCTTTAGATTTAATTCTCATCCTTAAGACATTTCACCATGTGGCTCCTGAATTTTTTTCCTTAGGCTAAATGCTAATATTATTTGGATGTAGTCACTAAGTAAAATAGCATGTGCAAATATTCCAAAATTGAAAAAAAAAACACAAAATACATCAGTTCTGATTTCAAGCATTTGGATGAAGGTTGCTCAACCTGTGCTGAAATATGAGTATAATCTTATTAGCATGGTAATTTCTGTATTTGTCTTTTGTCTTTTTTCTGAAATGTTAGGTTTGTTTTTTTAAAAATTCCATTTAATTATGTTTTCATCCTTAACTTAGAAGTTAACAGCTTGCAAACATTTGCTATTCCTGGCTCTATTTTTCTCAGCATACTCTCAGGGTTTCTTTATCCCTTTCCACTAGCCTTATTTCTTGTTTGTTTGGTAAGTATATAAAAGGAATTGGGAGACTGGAAAAAATAGCCTTAATTAGAATGCTGATGGTGATAATAGAGTCCTAGTCCCACTAGACTATGTAAGCAAAAATTCACTTGTTTTATAGGACTTAATATTAAAGTGCTATCTCTTAATTCTTTCAGTAAGGAGGTGTTATCCTTTGTTGTTGTTTTTTTTTTCTGGAACAAGAGTATTATAAACTCAATTGGATTTATTTATAAGTGCTGTTATAGCCTTTCTTTCTTATTGTGTATTGTCATTCAGATAGTCTAAAAGTGTAGGGCATAGTGAGTCCCAGGGCTGGGGGTAGTGCTTTCATGAAGAGCAGTTAGGGTTTAAAAAAAAAATCCTGTGGCTGGGAAGGTGGCTCAGTGGTAGAGTGCTTGCCTTGCATGCATGAGGCCCTGGGTTCTATTCCTCAGCACCACAAAAGCAAAAAGAAAAAAGCCGGAAGTGGCGCTGTGGCTCAAGTGGTAGAGCCACTTGAAGAGCTGAGGGACAGCGCCCAGGCCCAGAGTTCAGGCCCCACGACCGGACCCAAAAAAACATAATAATCCTGAATTTTATTCTTAGGCTAAAGTTATTTATTTGATATAGTAATAAGTTTAATCACAAGTGCCAAATTGTTTTAAGTGGTCTCATTTGAGTTTGTTTGGTCCCAGAAAGGACTAGATCAAATGTTTTTAATGTATGTCATGTAGAGTATCCTCCCTATCCCTGAAGTAAGAACACTAGTAGATCTGCTTTTCCTTAGTTAAATGTATCTATGTGAATGAAATGTAAAAATACAAAATGCATGTGGCTTATTATTTTCTAGTGTTCTGGACTTGGTGCCTCATTCTGCTATATGCTCTCCTATTTAGTTGGAAGACCAGTTGTATATAAATACTTAACAGAGAAAGCAGTAAAGTGGTCACAACAGGTAAACACATATTTTTTGTTATTGTTGTTTTTGTGTGTGCCAGTAGTGCTTAAATTCAGAGCATCTTGTCCTTTCTTAGCTTTATGCTCACAGCTGATGGTGCTCTACCATTGGAGTTTTAGCTATTCTTCTGGCATTTTGCTGGTTAATTGATATAAGATTTGGATTTGTCTGCCTACACTGGCTTTAAACCATAGTCCTCAGATCTGACCCTCCTGAGTAGCTAGGATTACAGTTATGAGCCACATTCTATCACTTGAGCCACACACAGTTCTACTTAGGGCTTTTTTTGCTGGTTTGTTGGAGATTAAGAGTATCATTGATTTTCCTGCTCAGACTGGCTTTGAACCTAGATCCTCAAATTTCAGTCAGCCTCCTTAGTAGTTAGGATTACAGGCATGAGCCATTGCTACCTGTCAGTCTGGCTCTTTTTTTTTGTTGTTGGTCCTGGGGCTTGAACTCTGGGCCTACGTGCTGTCCCTGAGCTCTTCAGCTCAAGGCTAGCACTTTACCACTTGTCTGGCTCATTTTTTAAGTAATGTAATATAACTTTGGTTAATTGAGTGGTAAGTGTGTAGTTTTTACATACATTAAATATTACTTTTTATAGAGTATATATTAGCTCAGATAATTAAATTTGATATATGGGTTTATCTCATGATACAAATTACCTTTTTGCTGGGCGCTGGTGGCTCACACCTGTAATCCTAGCTACTCCGGAGGCTGAGATCTGAGGATTGCAGTTCAAAGCCAGCCCAGGCAGGAAAGGTCCATGAAACTCTTAATCTCCAGTTAACCACTAGAAAACCAGAAATGGCTGGGCTGGGTAGGTGGCTCAGTGGTAGCGTGCTTGACTTGCATGCATGAGGCCCTGGGTTCGATTCCTCAGCACCACATAAGCAGAAAAAAAAAAAAAGCCGGACCCCTCCCCCCCCAAAAAATTATTTCTTTAAAAAAAAAAAAGAAAGAAATGGCACTGTGTGGCTCAAGTGGTAGAGTGCTAGCCTTGATCTGAAGAGCTGAGGGAAAGTGTGGAGGCCCAGAATTCAAGCCCCAGGACTGACCAAAAACAAAACACAGAAAGGGACAAATTATTTTGCCTCATAGTTTTAAAGGTTTCATTCCATAGCCCTTGGCTCTGTTAACCTTGAACATCTTGTGAAGTAGAGCTTGATGGTAGGTGGATAGGAAGCAGAGAAAGATTAGAAGGGACCCCAAGGATGAGATTCCCTCAAGGATCCACTGTCAATTAGATCCCACTTGTTAATGTTTCTATCTCCCAGAGAGCAACCCCAGTTGGAGAGACACTGAGGTTTCAACATATGAGCCTGTTGGGGTCATTTGTAAATAATCAGGAATTACAGGAGTTTTAGAGGTCATTTTGCATACTTGTTTTATAGATTACAAAATTAAGAGAAATTTAATATTTTCTACAAATCCTGAGCATTTACTTATAAAGCATTGCCTAAAATGTCAGATTTTTAGTTTCAATTTTGTATTCTTTTCATTATGCCACATATGTACTGAATATTAAAATAGCTATACTATCCTATAATTTTTTCAAATCTAAATTTACCAAAAAATAATTTATATATGAAATTATTATTATTATTATTATTTTGTCAGTCATGGGGCTTGAACTCTGGGCTTGGGCACTGTCCCAGTGCTCTTCAGCTCAAGGCGAGCGCGCTACCACTTGAGCCACAGTGCCACTTCCAGTTTTCGAGTGGTTTATTGGAGATAAGAGTCTCATGGACTTTCCTGCTGGGCTGGCTTTGAAGGTGATCCTCAGATCTCAGCCTCTGGAGTAGCCACCAGCGCTTGGCTATATATGAAATTTTTTATGAATAGCTTTTTTTTTGTTCTGGTCCTAGGGCTTGAACTCAGGACTGGGTGTTGTCCCTGAACTTCTTTTGTTCAAGGCTAGTGCTCTACCACTTAAACCACAACTCCACTTTCACCTTTTTTAGTAGTATAGTGGAGATAAGAGCCTCACATATTTTCCTGCCCAGCCTGGCTTCAAACTATGATCCTCAGATCTCAGCTTCCTGGGTAGCTAGGAGGCTGAGATCTGAGGATTGCAGTTCAAAGCCAGCCCAGACAGGAAAGTCCATGACCTTCTTATCTCCAATAAACCACTAGGAAACCGGAAGTGACGCTGTAGCTCAAGTGGTAGAGCACTAGTCTTGAGCCGAAGAGCTGAGGGACAGCGCTCAGGCCCAGAGTTCAAGGCCCATGAACAACCAAAAAAAAAAAAATATATTTTATGGCTGGGCATTGACTTAGTGGTAGAGTGCTTGCCTAGCATGCATGAAGCCCTGGCTTTGATTCCTCAGTACCACATACACAGAAAAAGCTGGAAGTGGTACTATGGCTTAAGTGGTAGAGTGCTAGACTTGAACAAAAGAAGCTTAAGGATAGTACCCAGGCCCTGAGCTCAAGCTCCAGGACTGGCAGGAAAAAAAATTGTTTTAGGGGCTGGTAAGGTGGCTCAGTGGTAGAGTGCTTGCTTTGCATACATGAGGCACTGGGTTTGATTCCTCAGCACCACATAAGCATAAAAAGCCAGAAGTGGCATTGTGGCTCAAATGAGTGCTAGCCTTGAGCTAAAGAGCTGAGGAACAGCTCCCAGGCCCAGAGTTCAGGCCCCACGACCCAGCAAAAAAAAATTTAAAACAAGCCGGGCACTGGTGGCTCATGCCTATAATCCTGAGATCTGAGGATCACAGTTTGAATGAAGCCAGCCTGGGGAGGAAAGTCCATGAGACTCTCCAATAAACCACTAGAAAATCAGAAGTGGCACTGTAGCTCAAGCAGTAGAGTTCAGGCCCCACAACTAACAACAACAACAAAATTAAAGCAAAAAAATTTTTTTTGGGGGGGTCGCCACTTCCAGTTTTCTGAGTCTCATAGCCTTCCTGCCTGGGCTGGCTTTGAACTGCAGTCCTCAGATCTTAGCCTCCTGAGTAGCTAGGATTATAGGTGTGAACCACCAGCACTGGCTATATGAAAATTTTTTTGAGGTAGCTACTTTATGTAAGTGAGCTTATTAGGTATGTACAGAAATGTAAATCAGTGCTTATATTTAAGCAGTGAAATATTCTCATCAGCAGTGTATGAATTCACTCATTTGGTATATATGTTGTAATAGGATGCTATTACATTATTAGAAAATTTTAAAAATTGGGGCTTAGAATATAGAACACTTGCCTAGCATGTGTGAGACCTGGGATTCCACCAAAAAAGAAAATTCCCAGCATATGATGATGAGGAGAGGGAGAAAGCAGGGAGAAAAAGGGAGGGAATGAGAAGAGAAAAAGAGGAAATGAAGGAGAAAAGAGGGGAAAAAATTGAGTGCCAGTTTTATTAATGTGATGTATTAGTCCATTTACATTAAAGAAAGTTAAAAAAATTTTAAAGCCAGGCATGGTGATACATGCCTAAAATTCCAACACTGGGGATACTGAACTAAGAGTCTTGAGTGCAAAGCCAGCCTGAACTACATCTCAAAAGTGAAAACAAAAAAGACATTGAAAAGTTAGCCATCTTCAAAAGCAATTTATGTATTTTCAAGATTTAAAAAGAAATGAGAGGGCTGGGAAGGTGGCTCAGTGGTAGAGTGCTTGCCCTTGCATGCCTGAGGCCCTGGGTTCGATTCCTCAGCACCACATAAGCAAAAAGAAAAAAAAGCCAGAAGTGGCGCTGTGGCTCAAGTGGTAGAGCGCTAGCCTTGAGCTGAAGAGCTGAGGGACAGCGCCCAGGCCCAGAGTTCAGGCCCCATGACCGGACCCAAAAAAAAAAGAAAAAGAAATGAGAAGCTAGGCACCAATGGCTTATGCTTGTAATCCTAGCTACTCAGGAGGCTTGTAGTTCCAAGCGATCCCAGGCAGGAAAATCTGTGAGGCTTTTTTGTTGTTGGTTATGGGCCTGAATTCTGGGCCTGGGCACTGTCCCTCAGCAATTCAGCTCAAGACTAGCGCTCTACCACTTGAGCCACAGTGCCACTTTCAACTTTTTCTGCTTATGTGGTGCTGAGGAATTGAACCCAGGGCCTCATACATGCGAGGCAAGCACTCTACCACTGAGCCACCTTCCCAGCCCTTTGTGAGACCCTTATCTCTAATTAACTACCAAAATACTGCAAGTGGAGCTGTGGCTCATGTGGTAGAGTGCTAGTTAGTCTTGAGCAAAAGAGCTCAGTGCCAGTGCACAGGCCCTGAATTCAAAACCCAGGACCTACACCAAAAAAACAGCTTTGCAGCTAAACTTACTCTGCATGGCTCTACTTTTCACCCCAGAAGTACTTGGTGAGGTTTCTGGATTTGATAGTAAGCAGCTTATCTTTTTTGTCCTACAACTTGAGGCCCAGTGTCGCTATTGCTCTTCCACCACTGCTGTCCAAGGATGACAAAAGTGGGGAAAATGCTGGGAAGTCAGTGTAGAAAGACAAGGACCTAGTATAGAAATCTGGGGCAAGGCCAAGAAGAAGTGGTCTAAAGGCAAATTTCTGGACAAGCTCAACCACCTAGTCCTGTATGACAAAGCTACTTAGTACAAACTCTTAAGGAAGTTCCTAGCTGTAAGCTCCTAACCTTGCTGTGGTCTCCAAGAGAAGATTCATGGTTCCCTGGGTAGGGCAGTCCTTCAGGAGCTTGTTAGTAAAGGACTTACCAAAGTAGTTTGAAATCACAGAGATCAAGTGATTTACACTAGGAATACTAAATGTGGACATGCCCCAGCAGTTGGAGAAGATGGAGGAACAGGTCCAACAAACTTACACCTTTGGAGGGACGGATGGGAGAGTGCTTGCCTTGCATGCATGAGGCACTGGGTTCCATTCCTCAGCATCACATAAGCAGAAAAAGCTGGAAGTGGCACTGTGGCTCAAGTAGTAGAGTGCTAGCCTTGAGCTGAAGAGCTCAGGGACAGCACCCAGGCCCAGAGTTCAGGCACCATGACGTACAAAAACAAAAACTATACCTTTGGAAAAAATTACTAAATTAAAAAATGCATTTTTTTAAACTTAGGGTTTGGGTATTATCCCTGCACTTCTTTTGCTCAAGGCTTGCACTTCACTACTTGAGCCACAGCACCACTTTTGGCTTTTTTCTGTTTATGTGGTAATGAGGAATCAAACCCAGGGTTTCATGCATGTAAACCCCCCCCCCAAAAAAAAAAATGTAGTTTTTTAAGTTGGCAACTTCGATAGGCACCGGTAGCCCACACCTATAATTCCAGCTACTTGGAAGGCTGAGATCTCAGGATCATGGTTCAAAGCCAGCCTAGGCAGGAAAGTTCTCATTAAATTGGCAGTAAAGAACAGGACTAGAGGTGTGGCTCAGGTGGTAGAGTGACAGCCACCGTGCCAGGACCTGAGTTCAGACTGATATTTCCAGATGATATGTATGATAGGTATGATATGTATCATACCTAATTTTTATATAAGTTTACCTCTGGCATTTTAGGTGTAAAATTCTACCAGACCATGAGCCATCTTTAGTAATATAACATCAACTTACAAACACAGCTAATTGTCATTAGCTCTGATAATGAGGTTTCTGGGTTCTGAGTTTTTGGTGTTCAAGGCTAGCATTTTACCACTTGAGCCACACAGCTCCATTCCCAGCTTTTTGGTGGTTACTTGGAGATAGGAGTCTCACAGACTTTTCTTCCCAGGCTGGCTTCAAGCCATGATCCTGTCTCCAGAGTAGCTAGGATTACAATGTGAGCCACTGGTGCCTGGCTCAAACTCCTTTTTAATACATTTCTGTTTGATAAATTCTGATGTATCAGGGAAGAGAATATGAAATAAGGTATTTGTATTAGCTTATTTTCAAGATTAATGTAATATAATGGTAATTCTCTTTCTTATGACAGGTTGAACGTCACAGAGAACATCTCATAAACTACATAATATTTTTGAGAATAACACCATTTCTGCCTAATTGGTTTATCAATATTACATCTCCTGTGATAAACGTGCCACTGAAAGTTTTTTTTATTGGCACTTTTCTAGGTAAGGCCTGTGGTTCATGCTGTGTTAAGCTCACTGTTTAAATACCTGGCAGTATTCAGCTGGCCTACATTGTGCAGACTTGCCAATATTATATAATTCTTGGGCACAAAACCTAGCCTGTACAAATGCTTAGGATGATTATCCATTTTGTTAAGTATTTTTGTGTTATCTCTTTAAAGATGAATATTTACTACAGGGTGTTATTTTAAGCAATTTTTCTGGGTTTTGAATCTGACCTTATGTATGCTGGGCATGCAGGTCTACCAATGAACCACAACTTTAGTGGAAGCAGAAATTTTGAATTCCCTCCACTCTTGCTCAGTGGAGGGAAATGGCTGTTTTGATTTTTCCTTTGCTTTCTAATCAAATATTAAAATATTGAGATCTAGTTTTCAGTAGAGAATTGTTCCTTTTCTTTTTTTTTTAATTGGCATTTGTTATAGGCACTACCAAAGCTGCAAGGAAAAGCAGTTTCAACAGATACCAAGGAACTGATACTTGATTTTGAAATAATCTGGACATGAAGACTTGTAAAAATTTTTCTGCTTTTCCTTCCAATTTAAATTGTTTAAATACAGTGTGTAGATTTCTTGTAAGTCTTTTTTTTTTTTTTTTTGGTGCTAAGGCTTGAACTGAGGGTGCTGTCCCTGAGCTTTTATATTCAAGACCAGTGCTTTACCACTTGAGCCATAGCTCCACTTTGGCTTTTTCTGGTGGTTAAATGGAGATAAGAATTCATTGATGGGCCTAGGAAGGTGGCTCAGTGGTAGAGTGCTTGCCTTGCATGCATGAGGCCCTGGGTTCGATTCCTCAGCACCACATAAGCAGAAAAGGCTGGAAGTGGTACTGTGGCTCAAGCGGTAGAGTGCTATCTTTGAGCTGAAGAGCTGAGGGACAGTGCCCAGGCCCAGGATTCAAGCCCCAGGACCAAAAAAAAAAGAATTCATTGAGTTTTCTCCCTGAACTGAGATCCTCAGATTTCTGTCTCCTGAATATCTAGAATTACAGGTGTTAGCTACTAATGTTGGCTAAGATTAGGTCTTTTTGAAAAACAAAAATCCTTTGGTGTTAGGGATTGTCAGAATTACTCATTTAAAGGGCTGGGAAGGTGGCTCAGTGGTAGAGGGCTTGCCTTTCATGCATGAGTCCCTGGATTTGATTCCTCAGCACCACATAAACAGAAAAAGCCACAAGTAGTGCTATGTCTCAAGTGGTATGAGTACTAGCCTTGAGCTGAAGAGCTGAAGAATAGTGCCCAGGCCCAGAGTTCAAGCCCCACGACTGGCAAAAATTAAAAAAAAGAAAGAATTACTCATTTAATGCAATTTTATTACTTTTGTGGTGCCAGGGATTGAACCCATCCCATCAATACTTTTTTTTTTTTTTTTTGGTCAGTCGTGGGGCTTGAACTCTAGGCTTGGGCACTGTCCCTGTGCTCTTCAGCTCAAGGCTCTTCAGCTCAAGGCGAGCGCTCTACTGCTTGAGCCACAGCACCACTTCCAGTTTTCTAGTGGTTTATTGGAGATAAGAGTCTCACAGACTTTCCAGCCCAGCTTTGAACCACGATCTTCAGATCTCAGCCATATGAATAGCTATAGGATTACAAGCATGAGCCACCAGCACCTGGCTCCATCAATACTTTATCACTAAGCTACACCCTCAGTCTTCAGTCTCTTTTTTTTTTTTTGGTCTGGTTGTGGGGCCTGAACTCTGGGCCCAGGCGCTTTGTTTCCCCTTCCCATACCTTCCCATTTTCCCTCCTCCCCCAGCTTTTTTACTCAAGGCTAGTGCTTTACAACTTGAGGCATATCTCTACTTTGGGTGCTTTTTTATTTTTTTTTTGGTGGTTAATTGGAGATAGAATCTCAGATACTTTCTTGCCCACATTTACTTCTTGAGAGCTTGTTTGGAGGTTCTAGCAGGAGAGCACAGCTACTCATATACCCTTGACCGAAGACCAGTCCTCCTCTATCGGGGATGGCCATCTTCTTCTTCGACCCAGCGCACAGCTTTGGGAGGGTTGCACATGGAGTGGTGAGGGACAAAGGGGACACCCGCCTCAAAAGCCAGATCAGCTGAATCAACCTGGCAATCAATGGGGTGACAGATGTCACAGCCAGATAACCCTCACATTCCCCAATTTTACTTTTAACCTCAACCCTCAGTTCTCAGCCTTTTGAATAGCTAGGATTACAGGTAGCTTGTTCTTTTGTTTTTTTTGTTTGTTTGTTTGCTTTTGGGTCCGGTCGTGGGGCCTGAACTCTGGGCCTGGGCGCTGTCCCTCAGCTCTTCAGCTCAAGGCTAGCGCTCTACCACTTGAGCCACAGCGCCACTTCCAGTTTTCAAGTGGTTGATTGGAGATAAGAGTATCAGACTTTTCCTGCCTGGGCTGGCTTTGATCCTTACACTCAGCCTCCTGAGTAGCTAGGATTACAGGGGTGAGCCACTAGCTCCAGCATTTTGTTTTGTTTTTTGAGGCTTATTAAGCATAAGATTGTTCTCTGAACACTTACTACCTTTTAAAATTCATTATTAAGAGTTGATTATGAGCTGGTGCCTGTGGCTCATGAATAATCTTTTAAATGGAATAGCTGTGTTCTTGCATGGAATTTTGTTCACATAGAAATTTAATTTTGGGGGCTGGGAAGGTGGCTCAGTTGTAGAGTGCTTGCCTTGCATGCATGAGGCCCTGGGTTCAATTTCTCAGCACCACATAAACAAAGAGAAAAAAGCCGGAAGTGCCACTGTGGCTCAATTGGCAGAGCGCTAGCCTTGAGCTGAAATGCTGAGGGACAGTGCCCAGGCCCATAGTTCAGGCCCCACAACTGGACCCCCCCCCAAAAAAAAATTTTAATTTTTGAAAACATTGGTATTTACTGTATGTTTTTTGTTTTTTATTTTAGGCGTTGCACCTCCCTCTTTTGTAGCAATCAAGGCAGGAACAACACTGTACCAGCTTACAACAGCCGGGGAAGCTGTTTCCTGGAACTCAGTATTTATTCTGATGATTTTGGCCATTCTTTCTATTCTGCCAGCTATCTTCCAGAAGAAACTAAAGCAGAAATTTGAGTAAAAAATTAAAACTAGGTTTTTCTGTCATCTTCATTTTCATCATCTCAGGATTAGCAGGTGCATCCATTTGTTTTTAAATAATCAGTACTCGAAAGAAGTATTGTTTTATGGGATATTTGTAAAATATGTAATGATACATTTTAAATAATGCATTTAAATGACAAGAGCGCACAGAATTTAAAAGGAGAAATTGGCATACTAAGAAAAGTGCTGCCATCTATACTTATGATAGACATCTTACAAACTACTAACAATGGCTATAGACAGACAATAGAGGCATGGTAGAAACTTCTTGGTCTGAATACATCCAATATTTATTTTTATGTCTAACAGGTAAAATAGATAGTGAAGTCAAGTGCAGTGTTGTGCACCTATCATCCTAAGCCACTCAAGAGACTAAAGATTGTGAATTTGAGGCAGCCCAGGCAAGTTAGCAAGATTCTGTCATAAAATAAGAGGTATAGTTTTTGCTAAAGTTTAGCCTAATGTCAGAGCATAAACTGGGTAAATAAAATTTAAAAAAGGTTTACATTTTCTTTTTCTGTTACCCTTTGAGGTAATGAATTTCATTAGGGACTGTATCTTCAGCGACCAATGAAAATAGGATATCAAGTTATTTGTCTTACAAATTTATCATTTTCTGTTTTAGATTTGTATTATGGAATAGTCTGATAATGTAAATTCTGGCCAGTCTGTTTTCATTCATGTTTTTTTCTAGGTTTTGCAGTATTTCCACACTATATATGCAAAATGAAGATGCATACCTATATAATATTGGTGTTGATAATGTATACTTAGATATTTTGTTATAACATCTCTAATATCTCAGTAGAGGATCTGAAAATACCAATTCCAGACATTAGATGGTTATTTTATTTTGAAACAAACAGTAACAGCACAACACTAATGGCTAATTACAGTTTATGGTTCTAATGACTGTAAATTTTACCTCATTTGATAATTAAGCAACGTATTATGTAATTATTCTTTTTAATGCATGATACACTTGTAAGACTATCTTGTTTATATGATGGCTTTTTGTTTGGGACTGCTTTAAACTCAAGCCATTTCACAATTTAGTTTTTACTCTTCTGTTTCAAAAAGTAAACTACCTGCTCACATAGTAACTATTAAGTTTGAATAGTTCTGGAAAACTGAAAAGCTTTTTGCTGCTTGGTATGCCCTTGTGCCCTTGATTCTGGGACAGAGCCAATCTAAAGTACTTCCTCAGTTTTACTTTCACCCTAAGAATATTAATGTTGAAAAAGTGCTTTAGCTCTGTAAGAAATCTTGTATGTTTTCATTCATTATCAGAGGTGTGGTTGTCCTCAAAGCCTGTCTTACTGCATAATATGGACTGATTAATTATTTTCTATCACAGTATTAACAAATGGATATGTTGTACATACAAAAATAATAGATTAATATAGTGGTCTTAATGTCACCTGGTCTTTTGTGCAAAATTATTTATTGTTATTTCTAGCAAGGTTTTCTTTCCTATCGACCAGAGTAGCAAGGTTTTCTTTCTTATTGACCAGAGACTGACTGGTAAAGCTTTTGTTATTTTTACAAATGAATTTAAAACATAGCCTTTTGAGACAAAGTTCACTAAATATTAATGTACAAAATGTAATTGAGTAAATTTTTATCAGACTTTTAAAAATAAAAATAAGAGCTTTGACTCAAGAAACCTCAGTATTTATTCTGGTGTGTACATTGTACTTACTCTATTCTCAGAGTATATTCTTTTGTCTTATTAGAAAACTGTAGCTGTCATTTTAGGGTTGGGTGTATTTTCTTCCCCAAAGTGAATAGCCAATCTTCTTCTTTTTTTTTGCCAGTCCTGGGGCTTGAACTCTGGGCCAGGCAATGTCCCTGAGCTTCTTTTGCTCAAGGCCAATGCTCTTCCACTTGAGCCACAGTACCAGTTCAGTTCATTTGAGTAGTTTATTGAAGATAAGAGTCTCATCGAACTGTGATCCTCAGATCTCAACCTTTTGAGTAACTAGGATTACAGGTTTAAGCCACAGGCACCTGGTTGAATAGCCAATCTTTATCATTGACTGTCATGAAAGAACGCTTCAGCAAGTTGTACCCCAGATACACATGGTGGCCCATATTCACAGAGTCAAAGACTTGCCCTGATGCCAAAAGTCAATTCAAGCTTCAGCTCCTTTTTTTTTTCCCCTTTCATTTCTTTGATGCTGGAGATTGAACCCAGGACCTTATACCAGCCAGCCCCAGGACTGGTAGGAAAAAAATAAATAAGGTTATTGAGAGTCAAATATTTTGCTCAAAACAGATTAATACAAGATCCATTATCACAGGGATCTGCTATAATGCTATTTTATATTCCACACTTATTTCTACTCTACATTTACTTCTTCCTAAGCTCCTGGCAACCATTAACCTCTTTTGTTTAAAACATCATATAAACAAAGTTATACAGTATATGGCCTATTGTGATTGGTTTATCTCAATCAGAATAATTTAGTAAGTCATTTAACATAAGCAGTCATGTATGTTGTTATATGAATCATTAGTTCTGTTTATTTCTCAGAAGTATTCTGTGGTATAGATGAACCAGTTTTTTTAACAACCCATCCATTTGAAAAATCATCTGAGTTGATTCTGCTATCTGGGTATTCTGAATAAAGCTGCTAAAAATGGAAAATCAAAGTTATTCATCATACATTGCTGGGGGGAACACTGAATGTCATAGCTGGTCTGAACATGCTTACATTTCTTTAAAAACTACATACCTGTGATTCCAGCAGGAAGGGGAAGACGGGAGGAACACAAATGTAAGGCCAGCCTGGCCTGGGCTACACAGAAAAACTGCCTCAAAAACTAATAAGTCAGGTACTGTTGACTCACACTTATAATCCTAGCTACTCAGGAAGCTGAGGTCTGAGAATCACAGTTCAAAGCCAAGCCCATGCTGGAAAGTCTGTGACTCTTACCACCAATTAACCACCAAAAAGCTAAAAGTGGAGCTGTAGGACAAATGGTGGAGTGCTAGTCTTGAGCCAAAAACTCAGGGACAGTACCCAGGCCTTGAGTTCAAGCCCCAGAACTGACACCCAACACACTATACATACACACCTTTAAAACTTGAATTTAGGGCCTGGGTGCTGTCCCTGAGCTCGTTTGATTAAGGCTAGCACTCTACCACTTGAGACACAGTTCCACTTCCAGTTTTCTGATGGTTAATTGGAGATAACTGTTTAAAAGACTTTCCTGCCCAAGATAGCTTTAAACCTCAATCCTCAGATCTCAGCCTCTTGAGTAGCTAGGACTACAACTTGAATCACCTGAGCCCAGCAAATTCAAGATAGAAAAAAAAAATCTCAAAGGAATGCTTTTATTCATTGAAGTTGGGTTTTTTGTTTGTTTGTTTGTTTGTTTTTTTGGGTCCGGTCGTGGGGCCTGAACTCGGCCTGGGCACTGTCCCTCAGCTCTTCAGCTCAAGGCTAGCGCTCTACCACTTGAGCCACAGCGCCACTTCCGGCTTTTTTCTTTTTGCTTATGTGGTGCTGAGGAATCGAATGCAGGGCCTCAGGCATGCAAGGCAAGCACTCTACCACTGAGCCATCTTCCCAGCCCTCATTGAAGTTTTTAATAAAAGTGTTTCTATGAAATCCTAAATATGACATTTAAGTTACTCTAGTACCATTTATTATTTCATTTTACTTTATTTTTTTGTTGGGTGTGGGGCTTGAACTCTGGGCTTGGGTGCGCTGTCCCTGTACTCTTCAGCTCAAAGTGAACGCTCTACTGTTTAAGCCACAGGGCCACTTCCAGTTTTCTAGTGCTTTTATTGGGGATAAGAGTCTCACAGCCTGGGCTGGCTTTGAACCTCAATCCTCAGATCTCAGCCTCCTGAGTAGCTAGTATTATAGGCGTGAGCCACCAGTGCCCGGTTTACTTTCATTTATTGTGTTAAATATATTACATTCAAAGTAACAGAGTTCCAGAGAGATACTATTAGCTCATTTCCCCATTACACTGCTTGACCTCTTGTGGTTAGTACTATGTAACTGTTAACCTGCAGGCATGCCTCAAGTGGTAGACGACCTTCCTGGCAAGTGCAAGGGCCTGAATTCAAAACACAATATGGTCAAAAACAAAACTAGGTAACTGAGATGTTACAGAAGGATTAAGGGGTATAGGCATCTTTATGGTATAAGGGCCTGGGAGTTCTCCTTGAGTTTCTTTTGCTCAAGGCTAGTGCTCTACCACTTGAGCCACAGTGCCACTTCTGGCTTTTTCTGTTTATGTGGTACTAAGGAATCAAACCCAGGGTTTCATGCATGCTAGGCAAGCATTCTACCATTATGCCACCTTCCAGCCCTGAGTTTTAGTAACTTTATAAAGAAGGAGTGTTTGGCTCCTTAATCTAGAGATCCAAGGCTGAAAGACCACACTTTATTGGCCCTTTATTGCTAGCAGGTAGTAGTAGCTAGCTAGTCCCTAGGTAGTACAAAGCATCAGATAGGATGAGTATCTTTCTGAGTCATCTAGTCTCTCTCCTAAAGCCACTAAAGTATTCAGTCATGGGGCTCTACCCAGAGGATTTTGTCTAATCCTAGTCACCTCCTAAGGCCCAGCCTCTCAGCATTGTTGGATTAACTCAATTCTACACAATAGAGATTTAAGTTTCAAATTTATGGAGACATTTTTTTTTTGGGGGGGGTGGTCATGGGGGCATGAACTCGGCCTGGGCACTGTCCCTCAGCTCTTCAGACCAAGGCTAGTGCTCTACCACTTGAGCCACAGTGCCACTTCTGGCTTTTTCTGCTTATGTGGTCTGAGGAATCAAATTCAGGGCCTCATGCATGCAATGCAAACACTCTACCACTGAGCCACCTTCCCAGCCCCAATTCCTGTAATCTTAACTTTTCAGTGCACAGAAAATTGGATTGTGGTTTGAAGCCAGCCCGGGCAGGAAAGTCTTGAGATTTTTTTTTTTTTTTTCTGTCAGTTGTAGGTCTCTGTCCCTGTGCTCTTCAGCTCAAGGCTAGTGCTCTACCACTTGAGCCACAGCTCCACTTCCAGTTTTCTGGTGGTTAAATGAAGAGTCTCACAGACTTTCCTGCCCGGGCTGGCTTTGAACCATGATCCTCAGATCTCAGCCTCCTGAGTAGCTAGAATTACAGGCGAGAGCCACAGGTGCCTGGAGTCTCTTGAGATTCTTGCCTCCCAGTCAACAAAAAGTGAGATGCTTAAGTTATAGAGCACTAGCCTTGAGCACAAAGCACAAAGGCTGGGGCTGGGAAGTTGGCTCAGTGGTAGAGCGCTTGCCTTGCATGCCTGAGGCCCTGGGCTCAATTCTTCAGCACCACATAAGCAAAAAGAAAAAAGCCGGAAGTGGCGCTGTGGCTCAAGTGGTAGAGTGCTAGCCTTGAGCTGAAGAGCTGAGGGACAGTGCCCAGGCCCAGAGTTCAGGCCCCATGACCAGACCCCCCCCCCCCAAAAAAAAAATACTGGAAAAAAAAAAACAAGCACAAAGGCTCAGGTACAGCCCGGTGCCAGTGGCTCATGCCTGTAATCCTAGCTACTTAGGAGGCTGAGATCTGAGGATCATGATTCAAAGCCAGCCCAGGCAGGAAAGTCTGTGAGACTCTTATCTACAATAAACCACTAAAAAACCGGAAGTGGCCATGGCACTGTGGCTCAAGCAGTGGAGGCTTGCCTGGAGCTGAAGAGCTGAGGGACAGCGCCCAAGCTCTGAGTTCAAGCCCCATGGCCAACAACAAAAAGACTCAGGTTTATTGTCCTGGCCCTGAGTTAAAGCTCCAGGATTAGCACAAACAAGTTTAATTAAAAACAAAAGCCAGCCAGGCGCTGGTGGCTCACGCCTGTAATCCTAGCTACTCAGGAGGCTGAGATCTGAGGGTTGGGGTTTAAAGCCAGCCCAAGAAGGAAAGTCTGTGAGACTCTTATCTCCAGTTAACCCCAGAAAACTGGAAGTGGTGCTGTGGCTCATGTGGTAGAACACTAGCCTTGAACTGAAGAGCTGAGGGACAGCGCCTGGCCCTGAGTTCAAGCCCCACGACCAATGAAAAAAAATAAAAAATGAAACAAGCTGGGTGCTGTGGCTCATGTCTATAATCCTAGCTACTCAGAAAGCTGAGATCTGAGAATCACAGTTCAAAGCCAAGCCTAGATAGGAGATTCTTAGCTCTAATTAACAAAAAGTCAGAAGTGGAGGGGCTGGGAATGTGGCTTAGTGGTAGAGTGCTTGCCTAACTAGCATGCATGAAGCCCTGGGTTCAATTCCTCAGTACCACATAAGCAGAAAAGGCAGAATACAGTGCCCAGGCATTGATTTCAAGCCCCAGGCCTGGCAAGAAAAAAAAAAAGGGGGGGGGGGGGGTCTAGGTAGAGTGGGGTAAGGAAGGGTAGAAGAGAAAGGCTGGTCAGTTATGCACCCACTAACTTCAGAAGAAGTTGAGTTCAGGGCATTTCTGCAGTTATAAAGAGCTGGACCTGAAACTAATAAAGTTACAAACAAAGCCAAGTACTGATGGCTCATGCCTATAATCCTAACTACTCAGCAGATTGAGATGTAAGGATTAGGATTGGAAGCCAGCCATCATAAGAAAGTGTGAGATTCTTATCTCTGACTACTAGAAAGCTGGAAGTGGAACTGTGGCTCAAAGAAACTCAGGGACATCA